TCGCATGAGTAGAAATCCATCCATCCTTTTGTAGGGAATGGCTCCACTATGGTGCCCTGGCATCCTTGCACATATCCAAATAGGCCAGGTAGGCAAGGCTTGACTGCAGGTCATGTGTGTCTTGACAGATGCCCTGTGATCCTTATTTTCATTTTCCCTCTGGGGAGGCCATCCTGAGACCCAGGTCTCATTGTCTCTGGGTTCTGATGAGACTGGAGGCCTTTTGCCTCAACCCACCTTGGGGTGCAGCTACACACTGTGAAATTATATTGCCACAGCATGAAATGGGCTCCTCAGCAGAGCATCTGAACATCTGTGTTGCAGTGTGTGGCCCCTGTTGTTTCAGTGTCAGTCTGTGCAAGGGACACAGGGAACTGGCCCCTTTAGTTGTCTAAGCAAGTAATAAACTGTCTAAGTATGAAAAAGGGCTTGGTTACCAGCCAAATCTGTCAGCCGTTGGCTTGTATTGCTTGACAGATCTCATCATCTCAACACACAATCTTGATTTTTTTATTTTCTTATGATTTTTATTCATATGTATTAATAAACTGTGCTCTGAGTTTAATTAATATTTACAAAGTAGTATGTGTTCATAACCACAATTTATTTGACTTCTGTTGTTGGATATGTAGATTTTTTTTCTAACTACATTGTTGTGAAAACTGCATTTATTCCTTTTGCATTTTTCAGAAGAAAATATTAAAGTTGTGATGAATAGATCAATGAATATTTACATCTTATTTTTTGGATATAAATATGTATTGTCAACATGACTTTCAAAAGTTTTAATCAAATTTACAAAGCTACTGTGAATGAGTGAGCTTATTAATTTCCCTGCAAACTTAATTTTACAGTGTTGATAAACTTAGAAGTTACTAATTTAATAGGCATTTCTGGTCCATTTTTATTGTGTGTGCTAAAGTGAGGCTGTATTGTATAATGGGAATGGCTGGGCTAGGAATTGTGTTTAAATCCAGGCTTTTCCAGCTATGTGAGCTGTGTAACCTTGTAATATTCATTTTTTAGAGCTATAAATGGAGATTATTAATTTTATATTCAGTGCTGTAAAGAATAAACGCAAATGTACAAATTCACACATATATGTTCACACACATACCAACCACCTAATTCAGTATCTGGTATATAACAGACGTATCTTAAGTGACAGATAATATACAATCAAATATATTTTGTATATCATATAATGTTTAGCAGCAGAGTAATAATTAGAGTATTTTGAGTATCGTGAAAAGAAATGGAATTTAGGATCACAAAGTTGTATGTATATATGATATTCTATAAAATAAATACCATGTCTGTAGTATGTCTGAGAAAACTACATAAAAAGTAAAGTAATTTCAGTGTCTGAAGCAGTACTGTCTCATAATTAGTTCCTTCTTTCTAGCAAACCAAGAAATGAGTTGGTCATAATAGAAATATTTGAATTCATTTCTAAGGCCAAAAGTGCTATTCTGCCTGCGTACCTTTCCTTTGATTCATTTAACAAATATTTATAGCCATGCGTGATTATCACTCCAGAGATACAATGATGAACTAGCCAAGAAGGACCCTTCTTTCTAGAAGCTTACATTCTAATTCAAAATAAGCAAACTGGTTAATTTCAGCCAAAATAATGAAACAACATGGTGAGAGACAGAGGGGTAGGAGAATCCCTTTAGAACACTGGGGAGAGCTTGTCTACAGGCTCTGAGATAAGTGGATGTGGAATTCCCTCATCTCACTTGCAGGTCCAATGTTGCTGAATGATTCTCTTGCTTCAACAAAAATATTTAATTCATTGAAAGTTTTTATTGTTTGGTATTATGTATTCTTTTCCTGATAAATTTTAAGATTCTTTGCATACATATGTAATGAAAGAAGGTAGTTTTAGGTAATTTACTTTTGGTGACATGATATAATATATGACAATTGGAAATATGATTAAATTGAGAAATTACATGCAATCTTTTTAAGAACACAGCTGTTATAGAAAATGAGATAGGTATCTGTATTTGCTTTAGAGCCAACACTGCTGTAATGTTTTTTGTAAAGCACATAATTGTAATGCAGTAAAATGCTTTTGTGAAAATTGGGAAGTTGAATAATCTTCCCAGAACATCTTTAGGGGTTTTCAGATGGCTTTTTCTGTTTAGCAGAATAAAACATCTCACGTTGAGGTAGAAATGGTACAAACCTTTCAGCATTCTAATGGGCACAATACACTGTAAGCTCCTTGATGGAAATCACACTATGAGGTCTCAATATTTTCAAACAAAACAAGAAAATCTATCAATAGCAATTGTTAGTCTTATTTGATGATTAAAATACTTTTTAAAATTCTCATACTTTAGTAAGTATATTTTTTAATAATAACAAGTTAGTGTTGTGACTGATAGTGAATGTTAATGTCCGTGCTTCTTGTATGTCTATCTTTTAGCTGTAAGGTGATGCAATGCTTTTCTTTATTACCCAAGTTTAAATTACTCCCTTTTGTTGTCAAGGATATATATGGATCTCAAAGGAAAAATAATGTTTATTATTTATTCTTCATCTATTAGACAAGAGTTGTATTGTTGACACATTAACAGGAGCTCAGAGAATATTTTTTAAATGATTAAAAGTCTACATGAAGTTATTCCTGCATAACTCGATGGATTTTGTGTTTGTTATTCCATCAGGTTGCTTTATTGTCTCAAGAGGTTTTGACTGTTTGACTGAGAGGGGTAACTTACCACCTGTCATCACCGATGCTGATGCAGTTCTGACCTTTTACCACCTGTGCCTTCTTCTGGATCATTTTGAAGCAAGATAAATGTTAAAATTAATACTCACATAGCATTTTCTGACCAGTATTCTCCAAGGATATGTGTGTATAATAATACTTAGAGAATTTTAAAAATGGGGAAAGTAATAAGGAAAGAATATTTATATAAATCCTACCATCCACATATAGCCACTGTTAATATTTTGCTGTTTGTTTCCAATGGCTTTTCTACATGAGTGTGTTTGTATATGTGGACACACATATATGCATAGTGCCTGGCACATAAAAGGTGCTTTGTAAATATGTGAATAAATGAATATTTTAATATACATAATAATTTATATATATATTTATGTTCTTATTTTATTTTTAATTGGAAACTAATAATTATATTTATGCGTTACATGTGATATTTTGATACATGTTTACATTGTGGAATGTTTAGATCAAAGTGAACGTATCCATTACCTCACATATTATTAATACTTACCATTTTTTGTAGTGAGAACATTTAAAATCTGTTCTTTTAAGAATATACATTATTATTAACTACATTCACCATGCAGTGCAATAGATCTCTAAAATATATTCCTCCAATCTAACTGAACCTTTGTACCCTTTGAACAGCATCTCCCCATCGCTCATTCCTTACTCCCCTACCCCGCGGTGACTACCTCTCTATGCTCTACTTCTGTGAGTTTAGCTTTCTTAGATTCCGCATATGTGAGATCATGCATATTTATCTTTCTGTACCTGACTTATTTCACTTAGCATAAGAAAGGACACAAAACAGTGTATATTTAGTATATATAAAACATACATATATATAAAAACAGCATGTATAAAACATATATATATGTGATCTAAATATATACTGTTTTGTGTGCAGTAGTTTCTTAGGCTAAAGGTAATTATCAAGATATTCTTTTAAATGTGTAAAAAATAAAAAATATAGTTTTTAACAACCTCAGAATCATATATGTATATTTGTACCATAGTTTATTTAACCTTTCTCCCATATTAATACTACTTTGAATTTTTGCTGTTATTTTGTGATGTGTTATATTTTTACCATCTATTTTTATTAGTGCTTGACTACTTCTTCAGTATGTAATCCTAGGGGAGAATTTACCAGGGAATAGAACATAAAGTTGAAACAACTTTTAATCCTTTGTGCCATATTTTTATTACTTAAAACTGATATTTTTATTGAATTAGAAAGGTATAGGACTTAATTAAATTAAAAAATTTCTGCACATCAAAGTAAATAATCAACAGAGCAAACAGACAACCTACAAAATGGGAGAAAATATTCGCAAACTATACATCCAATAAGGGACTAATATCCAGAATCTATGAGAAACTCAAACAAATCAGCAAGAAAAAAGTGGATAAAAGACATGAACAGAAGCTGTTCAAAAAAGATAAACAAATGGCCAACAAACATGAAAAAATGCTCAATGTCACTAATTATTAGGGAAATGCAAATTAAAACTATAATGAGGTATCTATCACCTTACCCCTGTTAAAATGGCTTTTATTAAAAAGTCCAAAAATAATAGATGTTGGTGTAGCTGTAGAGAGAAAGGAACTCCTGTACACTGTTGGTAGGACTGCAAATTAGTGTTATACAACCTTTATGGAAGGCAGTATGGAGATTACTCAAAAGAACTAAAAGTAGCCCTATCTCAATCCAGCAATCCCACTACTGGGTGTTTAGCTAAAGAAAAAGAAGTCATTTTATCAAAAAGACATCTGTACTCAATGTTTATTGCAGCACAATTCACAATTGCAAATATGTGGGATCAACATGAGTGCCCATCAGTTCATGAGTGGATTAACAAAATGTGGCATATATATACCATGGAGTACTATTCAGCCATAAAACATGAATTAATATTTTTTGTAGCAATTTGGATGAAACTGGAGACTGTTATTGTAACTGAAGTATCTCAAGAAGGAAAACCAAACACCTATTTCAGTGTTCATAAGATGTCTTCTTGAGGGTGGAATGTAGCCATGAGCCTGTTCCAAAGCAGGAAAAGCTGATTATGGAGTGTTTACGTGGTTTTACTAACTGTGCACAGAAAGTAAGAAATAAGGCTATTATTACTAGTGGGTCTTCTGCTTATCAGTTTAATTATTTTGCCTGCTTCTTAAATTTATCTTCAATTAAATTTTATAATTTTTCTGTCACTAGTTGTTTCAAGAAAAGTCATTGTGTGTTCTCTTCCAGTCCCTTCCGCAGTTGCCCAGGAAGCGTGGTCTTGGGAGCGGTACTTGAAAGAGCAGAAGGCTATCGCAGCACCTGTTGAGTTGTTTTCTAAGGTCAGCCATTGAACACCTTATATTTTTGCAAGGAATAAACACTTCAGAGATTTAATTAAAATTAAATTATTTGCCTACATAGCTCACCAACTTATTTGGATTTATAGGCTCTGCTGAAATGGCTCAACCAAGGTAATCAGGGCATTGATGTTCCAGAGTGTGGGCTGGAGCCCAGCACGGCTACCTGCCAGCTCTGTGACCTTATGAAAGTCATTAAATCTCAGCTTCCTCATCTGTAATGTAGCAAAAGTGCTCTCCCTCATCTGTAATGTAGGAAAAGTACTCTCTCTATCTCCTTGGGTTGTTGGAGAACTACATCAGCTATACCTGTACAGGACATAGGCTGCAATGTGCACGTAATAAACACTTGATAAGTGTTAGACTTTATTTTTATTGTCTGATATTACTTGCATATGTCCACTAGTGGACCAGGTTAGAGGACTGTGGTTTGATGTGTTGCGTTGAAGTAGTGGGTCAAGCCGACATTAGAGGAGACAGGAAAACCTCTGAGTCACTCGCAGTTGCCTTTCCCTCTCCACCCTTGCCTATCCCGTGCCCTTGCTGCAGGGTCACTACAGGCCAGGAGGGTGGAGCGGGAGCTGTCTAAGGCCATCAGGTACCACAACATGCAAGGGCAGATGTGGCCCGGTCAGGGTTCAGCCGAAGCCCATAGGTGAGGTCTGCTGTGTCTTGGGAATCAGACCTGTGCTGTGTCCTCAATCAGGGTTTTAGGGCAAAGCTCCTCTCTTATCTCCACTTAGGATTAAATCAGATGTTCGGACGTCCTTCACCTCAGCCAGTCAGTGTATTCACATTATTCTTAGAGTTTCTCCTTTAAGACCCTTTAAAGTCCATCAGCCAGTGCAAGAACACTTGCAGATCTGATAATTTCTCCCTCGGGTTCTCCCTTGTGACCTTGTATTAACTACAGAAATGACCAAGAGACGAATGTGGGACCTCTGTTCCCGAATGGACCCCCAGGCGGTGCTAGGAACTGCATGATCACAGGCTGTGGGTCATGGAGCTTCTCCCCCGCCCCCCGCTGACTTTGCAGAGCTGAGGCAGAAGAGTGCGGGAAGGCACTGAGCATTACAAGGCGTGAAGCTGGGTGGGCGCCCTCGTGCGGGCGAGAGTCTGAGAGACTCCGCTGAGTGGAGATGGGCAGAGAGCAGGGGATGCACCCTTGGATGATTTCTTAGATGATTTCTTGGCTGAGAACACAACTTTAAAATAGGACGTTCTCAAGCTTTTGAACTTTAATATTTGTCACTTCTGAAGATGACAGCAAAGCATGTATGCGAAAACAGACGTGTTTGATGTGTTGGGCTGCCTTCCACTCCACTCAAAATCTAACAGTCAAGCTGCTGTTGCTTTAAAGGCTCTCTGTGTGCAAAGGGCCAGGCAAGGCTGCATGAAAAGCTGAGGAGTGTACAACGTGGTGTCTTAGACTGTTGCGCTCTAGTTGGGATGTAAGATATGCCCATAAGAACACAGTAACAATATGAGGTAGAATGTACAAGTGAAGAATTTATTAGGCGTGAGATGAGACCCCATCTGACCCTGAATGAGAATTGAGTTCACCAATTACCATGTCTGATTTGTCCCAATGACTGAAGAAGATGCTTGTGTTTAAGATACAGTGTTACTCTAAGTCGGCATTTGTATTTTAAAAGATGAAATAATGTGGTTTATAATTGAAAATATGTTTTATAATATAATCAGAAAGGCAGATTGTTGATGTCAGCCTTCCAAGAAGGAGCATCAGACTTGAACTCAGTTTTGTATTGACATTGTGCTCTTGACTATTAATGTTCATTTTCATTGTGTAAATATCATAATAATGTTGTTCTGGTCAGTCAGCTGAGATAGAACTCTTCAGCTTTTGACACTGAAGTGTCGAAAACAAAACTTAAAATAGTTTGCATAGCTTGAATATTCCAAAGACATTAAAGTATTGCTTTACTTTTAATATATAGTTTTTATCCTAATATTCAAGTTCTAGAAGATGTACCAAAGACACACACACACACACACACAAACACAATCAGTTCCATCATGCAAATCAGATACATGTTTTACCAAGAAAATGTGTGTGTGTGTATGTGTGTATATATATATATATTTTTTTTTTAAGGAAGATATGCCTATTTCATTTGCACACAAGGTTAGTGCATATCTATATGTCTATTTTAAACTTTTTATACAAGACAAAGTAAAGTCTTTTATGTTTTGTGATTTATTTTACCATCTGGGTAAAAGGTATACAAGGTAAGAGGTGTACGAAGTAATAGGTATACAAGGATATAAACACCTTCTGTTGACATAGTAAATTTAAAAACACTTTCTCCTCATTACTGGAGAAATGTGCCTATCCTGATTTGATTTAAAATTTAAGCTATTTTTGTTTGTTTGTTTGTGTTGTGGTTGGTATGAAAAGCTTTTCTCTCTTACTCCCCCCTGCCAGTCGTCTCACCATCACACGCACTTCTCTGAAATGTTCTTTTCATGCTGTTGCTCACCAGTCGAGTCCATGTATGTCTCCTTGGAACTGAAGCCCCCACAGGCTAGCCCCGGCTGCAGACGTCCACGCACTGGTTCCTGCTTCACTGCTCAGTTTTATCCAGGTCTGAGGCCTTTGTGTCTCTCCGTGAGCTCTAAACCTCCTAGGTCCGTGTTCCCCTTGAGGTCTTCCCTTTGCATGCAGCTGTCCCAGCCTGTTCACTCTGGCCTGCCGACCTGCACTTACTGGGCAGCTGCCCCCTGCCCTCCTCACACTGGCGGGAGTGAGGGCTGGGGGCAGGACAGGAGCAGCAGAGAGACCAATGCCAGCTCCTGTGTTACTTGGCCAGAGCAGCATCTGGATCTCCACCTGCACGCGCCATGGTGCTCTGCCAGTGAACGGCACCTGCAGCATTGGCTGGCCTGTGCCCTGAGGGAGTGCAGCCTGCCCTAGCTCTAGACTGTCCTATCTGGTGACAGGGAACCCTACCATATGGCACTACCATTGTCATCCTTAGTCACTGGCTTGAAGGCCAGCTCTGCTTTTTAGCCCCAGACAGGACGTTCTCTCCCCAGCCAGTGTAGGGTTGCTAGGAATACAGGCTAAACATGGGCAAGGACACGTCCACATTTTCAAAATAATTTGGTGTTTCAGAACAAAATAAAAGTCTTCATGAGAAAAGTAAAAACTCTTTTGGATTTTATATACAATCTCATAGCTTGGTGATGTAGTGTTAATTTGAATTCCATATAGCTTAGGTGCTGTGTTAATTTCCTATTGCTACTGTAACAAATTATCACCAATTTAGTGGCTTAAAACAACACAAATTCATTGTCTTTGGGTTCAGAAGGTTAGAAGTGTACAGTGAGCGGCAGCACCACAGCCCTCCTGGGGGCTGCAGGGGGCAGCCTCGACTTGTCCTCGTGTTCCTCGCCTGCTCTGCTTCCGTCCTCATGTCTCCTCCTCTGGCCCTCCTGCCTCCCTCTTACAAGGGACCCTTGTGACAACATTGGGCTCCCCCAGATGATCCAGGACAATCCCCGTCTCAGGATCCTTCCCGCAGTCACGCCTGCGAGCCATGTGAAGTAGCATAGCCACAGCTCCTGGGATCAGGCCGTGGACACAGCTTTGGCAGCCATCCACAGATGCCGTACTCTTTTTGTTGCTGCTTCTTCCTGTCCCTGCCCCTGGCCTGAGTGCCTTGGGGGTCAGCTCCCTCCCCAGTTATCCTGCTGTGGCCCGGGCAGCCCTGTTGTGGTAAAACAAATGACTCACCTTCCTCCAGAGCTCAGCACGCTGTCCCTCCTCTCCGCAGCCAGAGCACACCTGCTTCCCCTCCGCGGCTCTGCTTCCTGGGTGCACGCGCCCGTCTGCAAGGCCCCTTCTCCTTTCCTCAGAGTACAGGCAGGTCCCGCCCACCCCAGCCCTTCTCCTGGCAAGCCCAGCCCTCCCTTCCTTGCGGTTTATGGCATCTCATCTCTGTTATTTCTGCTTTTGTCGCTTCCCTAGAGTGTGTGTGAGTCCCTGCTCACATCACTCGTCCCCCACCCCCTCAGTTGTGGTCTCATCCCGGGACATTCCTTTGTCCACAGGACGATCTCTCCCACTCCCTAGCACCTTGAGCACCTCCACCCCAGACACCACTGTCGCCCCCTTTTCAGCTCCGTCCATCCACCCCTGTGCCTCCTCTGCAGTGGTGAACTTTCATCTCACCATCTGATCTCGTCCACACCTTTCCAGACTTTTCTCTTTCTTATTCTCACAGCACCATTATCTCTTTCAGACTCGCGGTTCCTCCATTGTGTCCCTTCTGGATTCACATTTTCCCGCCAGCCTAGACCCCTGGTTCCTTCATGTCAGCCACTCTCTTGCTGGGATCTGCAATTCCCTTGTCCCCCTGCTGTGCTCTCTCCACAATTGCCTGCTACAATCCCAGCTGCAGACAATACATGTTCACCTTCTAACTTCTGTGCCTCAAGTGCCAAGCGCTGCTGGGTAGAAACACAAGGTCTTGCAGGTTGGTGGCACTGCAGACGCCCATCCTCAGCAGAGTGGCGTTCCTGGCTGTCTTTTGGTGCTGTCCGTCTAGCCTGTCCCTGCTTCTTGGAAGGCAGTTCTGAGCTCGCGGGCATTTTCCCTCCTGCCCACAGAAGCCGTCCCTCCCATAGTGCCGTGGTGAGGCCTTCAGCTGACTCTTGCAACCTCCCTCACCTCACCTCCTCTCACCTCCTTCCCCTGCTGTGGCTGGAGGAGGTGTCCCTCCTCTCTGCCATCCTTCCCCTGTGCTCTGGTTCCCTTCCAGTCCTGCTTTTCATGGTCGTACTCCATCACTTATCTCATGTTCTGCTTGTAAGTCAACTTGTTTTCTCTTGTGAACACAAATATGCCTATGTCTCTTTCATCTTTAAGAAAAAATATTGGACTATGCATTTTCCTAACTCATCTCCTTACCACAGTCCAGCTTCTTGACATTTTAGATTGTGGTTTTTCTCTTCTCTTG